ACTCTGAATATCCAATCTATCTTGAGCATAAAAAGCAAAGATGGAGGCATTACACTACCTGATTTCAAAACATACTACAAAGCTATAATAATCAAAACAGCAAGGTACAAGCATAAACACAGATACATTGGCCAATGGAATAGAATACAAACCCAGAAATAAACCCACAGATCTATGGTCAACTGATTTCAACAAAAGTGCCAGGAACATATTATGGGGAAATGACAGTCTCTTCCACATATGGTGTTCAGAGAACTGAATATCCACATGTGGAAGAATGAAACTAGACCCTTATCTCACACCATATGCAAAAATCAACTCAAAATGGATTAAGAACTTAAATGTAAGACCTGAAACTATAAAACCACTAAAAGAAAATATAGGGAAAAGCTCCACAACTTTGATTTGGTTAATGATTTCTAGAATGTGACCCAAAAGCACAGGTGACAGAAGAAACAATAATATCTTCGTGAGGTTTGCATATTTGCTCTGTGTCTGCATGGGTTTTTCTAAGCACTGTGGTTTCCTCCCCACAAAGACGTGCAGGTAAGCTTAATTGCTGTGTCCAAATGGTCCCAGGCTAAGTGACTGTGGGCATGTGTGAGCTGTCCTGCAGTGGGATGGCATTCTGTCCAGGGCTGTTGCCCAGCTTGAGCCCTGAGCTTCCAGCACAGACTCCAGTCTCCCCAACCCTGAATGAAATAATTGGGCAAATACTTATCTTACTTGTTTTTATTAATCTTTCTTAAATGTATGCATAGCTCATATTTATTTAACTATTTAATATTTGAAGTGTTTTGGTCTTTATTTATAAGTTTGGTGATGTTTTGTGACCAGAAATATGCTGTAGGAATCTAACTCTTATTTATAGCTATTAGCCTATGGGAAAATTGGTTTCTTTATACATCTTTTCACTCAAGTTGCAGTTTCTGAGGACCAATCAATGATGTTGAGTATGTACTGTATTGTATATTTCAAAATTGCTAAAAGAGTAAATTTTAAATATTTTCACCACAAAAATGCTGCTAAGGATGTGATGTTATTGATATGCCAAGTAGCTTGATTTAATTATTCCATGATGTAAACATGTATTGAAACATAACATTGTACCTTAATTATATATGATTTTATTTGTCAATTTTTAGAAAGGACCCAGAAAGTGGTGGTTATAGATTGAGGTCCTATACCTGGATAAGCACAGAGTCAGAGGGGACACACAAGATGCTGGCTTCCAACCTCTTCATCCTATTTATGTTTCTATTATATGATATCTAAAGGTTCCTCCTGGGCTACAGCTTACAGCTTTTGTTTTAAGGTACTAAAACCTGTTTGATTTAGAATTGACAATTTCTAAACTTGTTCCTTACCCTCAACAGACTGAGGAGCCCTTAGGAGAAGATACACAGAAATTTTAGAATTCCATCTACTGGGATCAGCACATCCAAGTCTCTTCTCTTTTTCATCCATTTTAAAATGAGACCTGAGGAGCTTATAGGTAAGATGGAGCTAAGAACAGCATCTCAACCTCTAAATGGGACTTTAACACAAATACGTTTCAGAATAAACAGGTTTTATAAAATTCATAGCTTGAGCCCTTACATGTTTTATGATTTGCCCTTTCCTGCCCATACCAAGTCTTGCTTAAAATCATAAAAAGGTCAACAAAGCTAGTAAGATATATTTGCCTTTATAAAACAAAATAATCTTGTCTTATGAAAAATTATAAACCTTTCAGTTTGCTGTTACAGTGTGTATTAGTCCGTTCTTGCACTGCTATAAAGAAGTACCTGAGACTGGCTAATTTATAAAGAAAAGAGGCTTAACTGTCTCACAGTTCTGCAGGCTACACAGGAAGCATGGCGGCTTCTGCTTCTAGGGAAGCCTCAGGAAACTTCCAATCATGGTGGAAGGCAGAGGGTGAGTGAGACACCTTACAAGGCAGGAGCAGGAGCAAGAGAGAGAGTGAGGAGGTGCCACACAGCTTTAAATGACCAGATCTCAGGAGAACCCGCTCACTGTCAGAAGCACAGCACCAAGGGGGATTTCGCTAACCCATTCATGAGAATCCACTCCACGACTGAATCCCACCAGGCCCCACCTCCAACATGGGGGAATACGTTTCCACATGAGGTTTGGGTGGAGACACAGATCCAAACCAAATCAGTGTGTAATAGCTTTTATAACAGAAAAAGAATCTGAGGCTCAGGCAGTCAGCTGATTTCTTGAGTTCCTTTTCATTCTCCTGGATGTCATGTATTTATCACAATGATTGTGGTATGAACGGCTTAGTGGGTCAAAGTATTTTGTCACCAAGAATAACACATGTGTTTCTACATGTTCTCAAGCTGCGGGAATGGGTGGTCAAGTCTGCATTTAGTTAAGAATTACTAGTGATATGGTTTGGCTGTATTCCTGCCCAAATCTCATCTTGAATTGTAGCTCCCATAATTCCTACATGTCATGGGAGGGACCTGGTGGGAGGTAATTGAATCATGGGGGTCGGTTTTTTTCCATGCTGTTCTCATGACAGTGAATAAGAATCACAAGATCTGATGGTTTATAAAGGGTAGTTTCCCGGCACACACGCTCTTCCCTGCCACCATGTAAGACATGCCTTTGCTCCTCCTTCACCTTCCAACATGATTGTGAGGCCTCCCCAGTCATGTAGAACTGAGTCCATTAAACCTCTTTTCCTTTATAAATTACCCAGTCTTGGGTTTTTCTTCATAACAGTATGAAAATGGAATAATACAACTAGAGAACCTATCCTGTCCTCAGAGTAGGAGACATTTCATCTTACGACCTGAATTCATCCTTAAACCAAAGCTAGAATGGCCAATCTTCATCACATTCAATGGTAGATGGGCTAGGAAGTGTTTATGAAGTTGAGTGGCTCTATTTTTCTAAAAACCCATTTAATTCAAATTCGCTAATAGACAAAGGTCATTTCATGCACTATTTCCCTCTTTGTCAAGACAGATACATGCCCAGATCTCTACTTGGTTCCCAAACTAACCTCAAACCAAAGAAACATGTTGTAAGAAAGCCACATGCACACATTTTAAAAGGAATTCACAGTGACAGCACGAACTCTTAAAACATTTTGCTATATAGTACAAATGACTATTTACCTATCCATCTATTTGTATCTCTGTAATCTATCTATATTTCAGCCCCTGTATCACTGCAATAATTCATCTATATATCTACAGTCATATTTAATGACGGGGATACATTCTGAGACATGTGTCATTAGGCGATTTTGTCATTGTGTTTACACCGTAGGGTACACTTACAGAAACCTAGATGATACAGGCTACTACACACCTAGGCTATATGATATAGCTTATTGGTCCTAGGCTACAAACCTGTACAGCATGTGACCATGCTGAATACTTACACAACTGTTACACAATCATATTTGTGTATCTAAATACACAAAAGCAAGTATCTGTGTATGTAAGCACATCTAAACTTAGAAAAGTGAAAGTAAAAATAGGGTATAAAAGTTAAAAAATGACACACCTGTGCAGGACACTCACCATGAATAGAGCCTTCAGGACTGGAAGTTGGTTGGGGTGAAGCCATGAGTGAGGAGTGAGTGAATGTGAAGGTCCAGGACATTACTGCTTCCTTTTATATGATTGGCAGTGCAGTAGGTTTGTCTATGTCAGCATCACCATAAACACGTGCGTCATGTCTTTCACTGTGAGGTTATGATGGTTGATGTCACCAGGCAATAGGGATTTTCAGCTCCATTACAATCTAATGGGACCACCATGGCATATGTGGTCTGTCCTTGACCAAAACATTATTATGCAGAACACTATCTATCTATCTATCTATCTATCTATCTATCTATCTATCTATCTATCTATCTGTCTGTCTGTCTGTCTGTCTGTCTGTCTGTCTGTCTGTCTATCTATCTATCTATCCATCCATCCATCCACTTTATCTATCATCTCTATCTATCCACCTATATTTACCTACCTGTCTTTCTACTTCTCTAGCAATACACACATCTACTAGGTTTGTCTCCCTTTACCAAAGGTGGGCACAAATCTGAAAATCAAGCTCACTGTCCCTGTTCCTGCAATGGGATCACAGACATCCGTCCACAAACACGGACATCCTTTGTGAGGGGCTGTACAGTTAATACCAATTCATAGAGAAAACCTAATTTTAACCCTTCATGAAAAGCAACATTTGCTGGACTTTCACCTTCCATTTCAGGACCAGTAAAGGGAATTTCAGGTTGTACTGTCTGCCCACCACAGACACTATAGCCACACACATTCACACAGAGGCACACACATTTTGGGAAGTACAGTGCTCAATTTAAAAAAGAATTCCTTTGCTGACAGAAAGTTTGCTATTTCTACACATCTATCTTAAGAATAGAAAGAGGAAATTCACCAACTCATTACTTGTGGGCCTTTCCACAGTGATTAAACAGCACAATTAGCCAAGCATACATTTTTCTACTCAAAAAGCTATGGAAACATAAACTTTTATAGTTACATCTTTGAAATTATTTAATTAGCCAAGCTCACAAACTAGTTAGCATTTATTTAACACAGGTGCTGGTCTAACCCTCTCATTTCATTACTGAAGAAAAAGAGGCCCACAGAGTTTAAGTGGCATTTCTAGAAACATCTGAGACTTGAACAAGAAGTCAGTCTTTACTTCCAGTCTAATTCTGTCAGCATTTAAAACTAAAAATAGAATTTCTTTTACTAAGACTGTTTCATGAGAAGCAACCATGCCACCTTGCCCTAGGTAGAACTAGTCTTAGTAATAAATTCACCGTTCTGATACCTGACTTCTCATTTTCTCTTGATCTTTAACTTGTTTATTCCAAATGCTAAATCTACCAGAAGACAGCACGCCCACTTGCTGATGTCACAGTCAAGCGCTTTGGAGTAACCAGTGGCCTGCAGGAACTGGCAAAAGTGCACGGGGTTCATCAACTTTTCCCATATCAGGCAACGGTCACACACCTTAATTTTTCCGCTCCGGCTTTGTACCTTGAGATGCGAGCCATGGACAGAGGCACGGACAAGGTGTCCAGCCAGCGCTTCTCATACCTCGGGTCCTTAGCTATGGGCGAGGAAGGTGACGATGGAGCCTGTGCAGAAGAAAGGAGAACGAAGCGTCACAGAGGCAGAGGAGGCTGCATGCAGGGAGAGGCGTCTGCAGGTGCCTGGAACACAGAACTCAAGTCCAACACATTTTAACTGATAAAAAGCAAGTGAGATCGTTTCTGAAACATGGGGAAAGAAAGAAGTGCTCTTCTACCCGGATTTAAGACATTTTCTCCCTCTATTTTCTAACTGCAAATTGCATGAGAGGAAGGAAGCTGAAAGGAAGGAGAAGGAGAACAAGGGCCTAAATTTGGAGGGAAAGTTGCAGACACAGTACTGGGCTCAGTGCATAGAGACCATGAGAAAGACGCAAAAAACCAAAACAACCTGAAATGTCCACTCAGCGAGTTTCGGTCGAGAGACACATAATAGAATGGCTGATGACATTCTGTCCAGGTCATGGGTCTGCTTTATTATTAGTGGCAACGACCCTGCCTGTGCAGTAGTAGGAGCTGGGCCCAGATGGAAAAGTGAGGAGGCCTCGGAGCCATGCAACCACTGCAGCACCATGCAACAGCCCCGCAAGCGTCCAACAACAAAAGGGTCAGAACACGTAACAGCCCCGCGAGCGTCCAACAACGAAAGGGTCAGAGGTGGGTTCTAGCCACAGGATACAATCGTATAATATTCCACATTCTCAAAGAGGAGCCTGAGCTGCCTGAGCCATCTTGACCTGAGCCATCTTGACCTCAGAGCCCGGCTCGCTATGAATGAACCAGGCGCTGCCGCCCCAGTCACCGGCATGGACATACCTCACGGGTGTGCCCCACACTCACAAGTGTGCCCCACACTCACGGGCGTGCCTCACACTGACAGGTGTGCCCCACACTCACAAGACATTTCTGTTGATTTAATTTAATTCAGTGTCCACCGGAAGCACCAGCCCTGAGCTCTGGGCTCTGTGGACCTTGGGGTTCAGGGACTGCTGCACCTGGAATCTGAGCATCTGTCTGCAAGAAGACTTTCTGTAAGAAGGGGGGCCACGGGAAAACAGATCTGGGCTTTCCGGAGGCTCAGAGGGTGGCACGAAGTGTCTTTCATACTTGCTTGTTCATAAGTATTAATCGGCTACATGTCCACTATGTATCAGAATGTTATTTGAGACCACATACCTCATTCCTTATAAATGTACAACCTTATACATTGGTTAATCCGCCACTTAAAGAGCAAACCCTGTCCACCTCAAGTCTCCTCTGCAGTCAGCTTTACCTGCCAAAAAATAACATCCCTAACAGTTCTGTGCCACTGAACTGGCTCCGGTTGGTTTGTGGTGAGAGGAGATGGGGGGCCGTTCTCCAGGGCTTCACATGAGATCCCTGGAATCTTGGAGGCTTCGCTTCCATGTGGATGAGGTTTCCATACGCACTCTACACACTGCTCACACTTAACAGAAAGAGTGTGATGATTTATTTTCATCTTTGCTGATATACAAGCCCCTTTCTCATTCTCCTCCACCTCAAATCATCTTTGCATCCCTGCCCTAGGATTCTAGACGAAAGGCCTCTCACCCAGTACAGGTGGGACGGGGGAATGGACGCTGAGGGAGGGTTGGAGCGTCATACAGAAGAGGCGGCATCGCCATCTACAGACGTATCAGAAGGCAGAACAAAAACTCACACAGCCAGAGGCTGGGTTTGGGTTATCATCCTAACATTGTTTCTCTATATTTATTAATTCCATGGCTAATAGCTCAATAGCAAAAGTGGAAATATTGGAACATTTGAACTCTGAGCTGAATTTTACAGATATTCATTCATTGTTACCCTTTTCTGTTGGGCTCTAACATCTGGTAAGAGATTCACCTTTGGTGCATGCATGAGAACGGCACTGAAATACCTTCAGATCACCTGCTACGTATTTCATATTAGCTTTGCTGAAATACCATTTGTCTACACAGACTGCTGCAAGCTGTGCAGGAACTCATTATAAATGATTGCATACTGTGGCACGGTTTTAATTATCACTGTTCACTGAATTTTAACTGTGGTATTTGCATGCACAATAATCCATCTGTGCCATGGGAGTTCATCCTAGTAATGGTGCTGTGTGTTTAGCCACATAATCTATACCTCTTGTTGCTGATTCAAAGGTTTGCTACAGTGTGCTGTTTTCAGAGTAACTAGAATCATACTGCAAAACCACTACTTAAAATTGCATAGAGGATTCTACTATACAATACACAATATTAAAATAAACAAAATAGTATGCATCCTTTCACAAAATCAGTTGAAGATTACTTTTCAAAGGTGTAGGATCAAAAGCAATTCCCCACTAAGAAAACCCATTTTTTCTTTATAAAATCAGGCTGCATGCAGAGTTTGTCGGCGCAGCTTTGCCTCCAGACTGTGGACTTTTATAGGATGCTTTTCACTCGGAGGCCACTGATAAACCCTGAATTTCATGTCCCATTGAATGTACTTTCCTCTGGAAAAGTATTTTGCACAATCTGGAGAAAATATTTTCTATAACTAGCAGCTAGGGGAGAAGTCAGATCTCTGTGAGCTAATGCTTAGCTCAGCAGGGTCAAATGCTCCCATTTACAGAGGGCAAAGGAGAAGGAACATGCCAGCGTTATCTGCTCCACAGCTCCTTCCTCTCCAGCTGCCCCAGTGCACCCAGCTCTTTGCTCTCTGCAGTCACAAGCTGGGCACTGATGGAGGAAATGCCTCCAGCTTCCTCTCCTTAGGAGAAGAGGGGGTGCAGGGTACCCAGAAAGGCCTTCTGGTCCTGTGCCCGCCTCCCACACTGGCATGTCCAAAGTCGGCTCAAGGAAGGTGCTGCTCATTTGAGCAAACCCCACTGTGAGGGAGTTCATGTCCTGCAGAAAGCAGAGCCTCGTGATTCTCATCGTGGTCCCAAATCTTACATCAACTAAATAGCTTGCAGATATCATGAGGCATGTTCCTACCAGTTGATCACAAATCCTATAGCTTGTACCTGTCAGCTTTTTGTAATCTTGCTGCCTACGACAGGAATGCAGAGCTCAGCATCTCCAGGGCTGCGAAAGCATCTGCATCTATCCATGGCAGTGGAAACCAATTTCAGATGAGGAACAAAACAGAACATGTTTTCCTCTATTTAATCGACGATAAAGTCAAAAGTTGCAGTCGAAAGAACTGACCCCCAAAAGCCATCCTGTAGCATTTACATGTGACTGACCAACCAACTCACAGGGCATTTACTACGAGATGCCACAGTTATTGCAAGATTGTCAATCATACATCACATACCGGGGCCTGTTGTGGGGTGGAGGGATGGGGGAGAGATAGCATTAGGAGATATACCTAACGTAAATGATAAGTTAATGGGTGCAGCACACCAACATGGCACATGTATACATATGTAACAAACCTGCACGTTGTGCACATGTACCCTAGAACTTAAAGTATATAAAAATAAAAAGATTGTCAATCAAAAAAATTAGAGAAAAATATCTCCCAATACATTGAATGTACACAAGAATTAGAAGAAAGGATTGTAACCAAAGACACAAGCCACATGTGCTTCGAAGAGTGGAGGGTGAGGGGAGCCTCTACTGGTGGAGATGTTCATGTGAACTGCCTGGAGACAGAGGCCATCAGGTTCAGAGATCAAAGCAAGAACTGGTATCAGGTCACTGGGCAGGTGCTCTTTCTAAAGCATTGTATTCAAACTGCTGCAGTCCCCAAGAAGGAACTTGTGGGGTTTAGTTTTCAACGCAGTCTTCATCTCAGACATGCAAGCACGAGCTCCCCCACTCTGCATTCTCCCAGCTCTGATTCTTTGGGGCTGACAAAAAGTGATGTCATCCTGGCATCTGCCACACTCACAGGATGAACATTCTGAATGGAGATCTGCCACACTCACAGGGTGAACATTCTGAATGGAGGCGGATCTCTAGAGGGCACTGTGCCTAGATGGATGCATTTTGAAAAGTCAAGTAAAATGGAGTACTTTTAACATACTCTTTATAAAGTTACTGGAAATGAATAAAAATAGATGAAAGCAAAAGCCTCCAAATATTTCAACTACTTTCACGGTTCTCAATTTCAACTACTTACACGGTTCCCAGTTTAACATAAACTGCATATCATCCCAGCATTTTTGCCTCCTCAAGGCATGTATGTATGGACACAAAGTAGTGTTAAGAGCACACTCTTAAGTCTACATTCTCTGATTATCATAGAAATACAACTACATTCTAGAAAAGATGGGAAATATAAGAAGGTTAAAAAAAACCTTATCACCCATTTTGTATATTTCTCATGATCTTTTTCTATTTGGTTTTTAAAAGTTAAGATCATACTGTCCAAGATGGCCAAATAGGAACAGCTCCAATCTATAGCTCCCAGCGTGAGTGACACAGAAGATGGGTGATTTCTGCATTTCCAACTGAGATACCGGGTTCATTTCACTGTGGCTTGTCGGACAGTAAGGGCAGGAGAGTGGGTGCAGCCCACTGAGTGTGAGCCGAAGCAAGGCGAGCCATCGCCTTACCTGGGAAGTGTAAGGGGTCAGGGAATTCCCTTTCCTAGCCAAGGGAAGCTGTGACAGACAGTACCTGGAAAATCGGGTCACTCTCACCCTAATACTGCACTTTTCCAACAGTCTTAGCAAACGGCACACCAGGAGATTATATCCTGTGCCTGGCTTGGAGGGTCCCACGCCCATGGAGCCTTGCTCATTGCTAGCACAGCAGTCTGAGATAGAACTGCAAGGCGGCAGCGAGGCTGGGGGAGGGGCACCCGCCATTGCTGAGACTTGAGTAGGTAAACAAAGTGGCCAGGAAGCTCGAACTGGGTGGAGCCCACCACAACTCAAGGAGGCCTACCTGCCTTTGTACACTCCACCTCTGGGGGCAGGGCATAGCCAAACAAAAGGCAGCAGAAACCTCTGCAGACTTAAATGTCCCTGTCTGACAGCTTTGAAGAGATCAGTGGTTCTCCAAGCACAGAGTTTGAAATCTGAGAACGGACAGACTGACTCCTCAAGTGGGTCCCTGACC